GCCCGACAAGAGTGTCCTACAAGAGTGTCCCACGAGAGTGTCCTACAAGAGTGTCCCACAAGAGTGCCTTTCAGGAGTGTCCTACAAGAGTGTCCTGTAAGAGTGTTCCACAAGAGTGTCCTACAAGAGTGACCCACAAGAGTATCCTACAAGAGTGTCCCAGAAGAGTGTCCCACAAGAGTGTCCTACAAGAGTGTCATTTGGACATACGTAGCTTTTCGAACGTGTTTGCATTCGGGTACGTGGGCTCCATCTTGTTCCAAAGGTAGCTGAGCCAGTGCAGGCTGACTTGGGTTTGACTCCGGCAGACTCCGGCATGTCAAGTTTTGGATCGATGATTCCAATCAATCGTTTCCCACATGGATATATCAAGTTGCGGGACTTCGAGCGACGAGTTGAGGGGGCATTTTGGGCGTGCTGTGCCTAGCACAGGAGCCGCGAGCGGTGGAACACCACCGTCCCTGAGTCAGCCTAGCACTGCCCGCTCCCTGAGTCTCTCATGGTTCCGTTGTCTTTATTTAGTTTAAGGCCGTGGTTTAGGCGTTTGGCAGCCGTGGTTGGTGCCACTTCAGCCCAGGCTCAAGACCCATGAGATTGGCCATCATGGCCATTATTCAGGAGGTGTCCTATAAGTGTACAGGAATTTCACCAATGATCAAGGGAGTTACAGATAGTTTTGGCGGGGTGGCTCCATCCCAAGTTTAGAAAAAGCAACGATCAAGTGACACGCGGCACGTGGTTTTGATTACCAGCATGTACCAGCGGACCAAGCTTCCATAGAGTCTCTGAAAACAGAGTGCAAATCCTCTTTAGAGATACACATCCCCTGACAATCCATGGGACTAGAAGAAACATCCATAGAAACGTGCAATCCTTGAGGCTCCACGTGACCTACACAGGCAGGCCTGTATACGTGGCCATGTCTGCATGACATGGGCATGTCGAAGGTCAACAAATATAGTATATACAGACATATTTGGTGCCTCTGGGACCCTGGGAATCGTCATTGAGTGCCATATTAGGCATTCCTCTCATGATCGAGGTCCACAGACCCGTGCTCGAGGTCCTCGGACATCCTCACAGACCCGTGAGGAGTAAGATATCCCTTGCCTTAAGTAATTATTTCATAGGTGGGAGTACTATACTGAAATAATTTTTTCAAAATAATTTACAAATGGATATTATTCCAAACAGGGAGTGGTGGGTGGGGTCAAAATAATTTTCATGTCGAGAGTCAAAGGATCCAAAATAATTAGGAAAATATTCCAGAATAATTTAGAGTCTCAGATTTGGAGAAGGGTGCAGTTTTTGATATTTTGTGCTTGTGCCAGATGTGTCAGATTTTATTTAGGTGGTGGTGTAAGCAGTCAACCACCTCAGAAATAATATTGTGGTGACTTCACAAAGACTGAGGGAAGATAATATCATTATCTATTTGTATATAAATGCAACTATGTCCATGCGTTTGCATTCTTGACGCTGTGTGTTTGAGATGTTTTTGCTTCTATGTTCTTGTCATGCAGATTCATGCAGCGTGGGATCAAGAGAGATCAAATTCAAAGCCGATGGAGCCTCCAAAAAATGCCCCAGCGATATGCAACATCAAAGGTTGCGGCTTGACTAAATTGGTTTCCAGGGGCAGATTCACTCGTTCCAGGACATATCAGGACATCTTTCCAATCCATCAGTTAAGGCACATGTGCGATGAAGATACCAGCATGGAACGAGAAGTGGAAATTTTGGGTTGCAACTTGTGCAGCCTGGCAGGAGGAGCAAGGACGCTACTAGGGGCTCCTGGCCTTACTATATACTAGGAGCAAGGACACTACTAGGGGCTCCTGGCCTTAATACTAGGAGCAAGGACGCTACCAGGATCCTGGCCGTACTACTAGCAAGGACGCTACTAGGGGCTCCTGGCCTTTCTGCTAGCAGCAAGAACGCTACTGTTGTCAATGCGGTTCACACCACTGGCAAGCTGTTGTACAGGTATGTGCAGGTAGATGTTTGCTTTATTTGCTTTCAGGAAAATGAAGGGATATCCTCGAGTGGATACAAGCGAACTTCGCATCATGTAGCCCTGTAGCGCCTCAGAAGCATGAAGGCAATTGAAGACATATGAACACGGTGTGCCTCATAGTAGGATCTTTCGTTTGCGCGCTCTCCAAGTTTCCAGCCAGAGAATCGCTGGATCTTTTCGTCGTGCTTGTCCAAGCTGGCGATGGAACTTGCAAAGGTGCCTTGAAACGCGCGCGGCGGCGTGGACGCAGAGATTCATAAAGAGATATAGAGAGTATTAAAGAGGCATTTGCAGTATTGTTGTTTGGGGCTGTTAATTTGATCATGCTTGCTTTCTGCCTCATCGGATCTCATCGGCGAGATATGCTTTGCACGAGAAAACATTGAATTTGGATGATTTTGGCTTGAGAAGAAGAAGGTTGTCATAGGCACAAACAGAGCTTTTCGTATTTTGTCCTCGTTCTCGTTTTCATCTGTGGCAATGGCAAATCCCAGAGCTAGGGTCTTCGCTGCGGCCTTGCGCAGAGCACTGAATGAACCTGACAAGTTGGAAGCCAGTCGTAGTCATTTCCCCAATGCTCCGACAACTTTGACAGGGACAAATGAACAGTGCAATGTCTTCAACTTTCAGGTCGCAGAGGACATGCAGCACGGTACCCATGCTGGGTCACCTAACAAGACGGTGCTTGCGGGAAAAAACCTTTCTTGCAACGTCTTCAACATTCAGTGCAAAGCGGGCACAGAGCGCGGCTCGGCTGTTGAGTCAACACATAAGACGATCCTTGTAGGACAAAACCGATCTTGCAATGTGTTCAACCTTGGTGTGGGCTTCACTCTGAGTGAGCTTTTGCAGCCAGCGAAGCCTGATTGTGACTCGCCGCCACCTTCCCAGAATATCCGGAAGCGTCCTCCTCCACCTGCCTCTGATACGCCAGCTGCGAGCAGGCCTCGTTCAAGCCGCTCAAGATCGCCTTCGAATGCCTCTGAAGCACCAGCAGCTTCAGAGCTGACATGGCGTTTGGACGGTGAGAACTCTGGTCCTCGCGAAGTGGATTTGGAGAGCATGATGAGCGAAGCGCCAGATGCAGATGACCAAGAAACTTCAAAATCCAATGCGCCCTGGGGGCCCTGGATGAGCGAAGATGACCAGTCATGACCAGTCAGTGGCGTTTTTGAAGCTAATTGATGTGAATCCAGACAGGACAGGACGGCGCTCGTACAGCGGGCTGGGTTTGCCTTGCTGTGTCCAATTTGGAGTCGCAGTGTCCTTCTTGTTTGTGAGCACATCCTTCAAGTAGAAGTCTCTGAGCGTTCTGGCCTTGCCTACAGTGCCCAATGTGCGTTAATTCATCGTCTTGGGACCTCTTTGGCGTTCATATATACCTGTTGGTCAATGTTTGTGCAAAATGGCAAAAGACGCGCCTTGGGTCATCTTGGTTGGAGGGGATGCGCAAACATATAGATTGTCAGATTTGCGGATTTGTACGTTTATTTAATGATTTTGGTCTACATCTTGGCGTCAGTAAGAGGATGTAAGAGGTGAGTCAAAAATGTGGATTCTTTCTGCCTGACCAGGAGCAAGGCCTTTCGCCCTCTTCGAAGAAGACTTCCAAATCTTCCAAGCTTGAAAAGAAGGCCAGTCAATTCCAAAACGATTCTGTTACGGAGCAGCGGTTTGATACAAGATGGTGGAATTTGATGGATGCGTTTTGCTACGCCTTTTTTCAAAGGCCCTCCATTGAAGAAAACTATTTTGTGGGTGGTGCGCTGTGTCAGGACCCCCCAGCTCTACCTGCACCTGAAGCAGAGCAATCCAAGGAGAAGGAGAA